ATGGGGCACATGGGCACAACCAAGGGCCTCATCATATGAGCCAAGGGTCCATGTACCATCAGCTTGGGAGGCGCCAACTCCCAATCCCTCTGAAGTTCAAGAATCATGGCAATGGGGTACACAAGGGGATTCTTCTCAAGCAGAGAGGTTATGGTCAAGCTGGGTTGCTCCACCACAAGAAGCAGCACCATCTGCAAAGGTTTATGAGAGGAGGAACAAGAGGAGGGCTAGCAAGTTTCCTCAGACATCTGGATCCTCCCACCACTCCAGTTATTAAGCAAGGTACCACATCCTATTCATTGTCTATACCATTGCATTTTTTTTTCAATTCTGTATTATATTTTGTTGCTTCTCTCTCTCATTGCTTTCATTACACAAGGGACTGTGTAATTTAAGTATGGAGGAGAGATTTGGGGTTTGACTTTGTGTTTTGTTTTCTTAATTTTTCATTTTCTTTCACTTTAAGTCACATGCATATCATGCATTCATATAAGACATAGAAAAACACAAAAAAAAAAATCAAAAATTTTGAAAACTTTTTGCATTTTTGCAAACCAAAAAGAAAGCATGTAGTTGCATTTCATTCTTTTAGGATTGATTCTAGTGTTGACATATAGGTTGCATTGCATTTGCATAGGAAATAATGATCAAATTTCCTTGTAAAGTGCTTAGAGTTTAGAGATGATTTCAGTGCTGGCTAGTTGTTTGATGCATCATAAGAAAGCTAGAAGTTAAGGCTGAACCATGCTTAGATTGCTAGATTTGGTCTTCTCATCTCATTCTGAAAGCATTTGTTCTCTGAAAATCAACTCTGTCAACTTGAACTTTAATTTGGACTTTTAATTATCATGTCTTATGCATTGAAAAGTGAATTCATGGCTACCATATACATATTTGGATCATCTTTTTTCTTTATACCACTTTGGTTGATCCAAGTAGCTGATCCTCATACTTATGAGACAGTTAATCCACACCCTTAACTAAAACCTCCTTTTGAGCCTAAACACTATCTTGAGAGCTGTGAGGCCTTTGATCATCATTTTTGATTTTGTCTTGGCAAAAAGTGTTAGGAGTAAGGCTGGCAATAATAAGCTCTCTTGTAGATATCAGCTTGCATCTTGAGCTTGATTCTAGGATATGAGTTTTGGGTTAAAAGGGTAGTGTAAGTGGTTTGAACTTCATGTATATATGTTTTGAAAGAAAAGGAAAAGGTTTGAAATGGTAAAAAAGGGGAAACAGTCTAGAGTTGTGGTTAAGTAAAGGGAAGAAAAAAAAGGCTCTAAGTGTAAAGAAGAAAGGCGCCAGCAACAAAGATTAGAAAGGTCAAAAGAAGAAAAATCAGACCAACAGCAATCTACCAAAGGTGATGAAGGTGCCAATGCAACAAAGAAGAGCAAGTCACAACCAAAAGGAAGCAACCACACAAGCAAAGAGAGAAGTTTCCCCAGCCATGAAGAAGGGTAAAGGGTAGAGTTTAGGAAAAGGGTAGACTTAGGGGTTCACTTTTGGGTTTAGAAGTATTTAGGATTTATCTTTGGGTAGAAGAGAGCTTTGAATTGCATGCATAAGTGTGCTTTTACCTTTAGCATTTTGCCTAAGATAGAATCTTTTTCATTGAGTGACGCTTTTGTGTTTTAGAACCCTTTTGCTAAAATGAAATCATTTTTATCTCATAACCTTACCCTTTAAACCAAATGTCTTCACTTGAATTGCATAAGCATGATTCATGTTCTGGGCTTAATTGAATGTTAAAGAGTTGGTTGATTTGAGCATTTGCCTAAGTTAAGATTTGAGGTCATTTTGAAACATGATGAGCATGGCTAGGATTTTAAAGTAAAGCTGATTATGTTTGCATCCTACAACTAGACACTTAAGCATTGATATCATCTCTTTACCTTTGCATTTTTGAATCTGAATGCCCACCTTCAAACCTCACTCTCTCATTTGTTCTTATTTGCTTGAGGATAAGCAAAAGACAAGTGTGGGGGTGTTGATATCTCTTGTATTTACACCATTTAGACTTGCATTTAGTACATGTTTTGGTCCTCTTTTGCATGTTTTCCTTAGTTTTTGTCCCATTCTTCTCCTTTTAGACTTAGGTTGCATTTAGGATATAGTTTGCATTTTTCTTGCATTATGGATGTTTTTAGGTGCTTATGGAGCTAAAAGGAGCTTGGAGGAGCTTTGATGATGATCCAGGAAGCTAGCTGGGCCAAAAAGAGCAAAAGGGACCAAGGCAGACGATTTCTGCAGAGCTTATCGGTCTGTGCACGGAGGCTATCGGTCAAGGAGTGACCGATACAAGCAGTATCGATCAAGGATATCGGTCAGGAGTGACCGATACAAGGCGTATCGATCAAAGGTATCAGTCAGGAGTGATCGATACAAATGCGCCGAGTATATTTCGGTCACTGTATCGATCACTTCTCAGACCGATATGATTCATATCGATCAAGCCTAGACCGATACAACTGATCGATATGAACCCAGTCAGAGCCTGTTTTATTTACACTTTTGCCATTACTCTAAGGCTTTCTTCTTTTGCCTATAAATAGTCCATTTTCTAGGATTTTTCGTCATGTGATGTCAATTTACTGTTCTTAAACAATTTCATTAAGTTTGTAAGACAAATATTTTGCTTTATTTAATATAAGTAGGTATTTTCCTTTAATATTTCTTTAATCTCTCTTTTAATCATGATTAGCATCTTTTCCTCTTGTGATTTGGTGTTAAACATGGATATTAGTGAGTAGTTTGCTTAGAGTTCTTAGATGTGGTAGATTAAGGGGATTTAGGGATTGACTAAGGTTTGTTTAGTGCTTCATTATATGGGTTCCTCTCTATTGATCTGTTCTTAAACTAGATTTGTCTTGATCACACTTATCTAGAATTTAGGCTTTCTCTTATGCCCACCAAGTGTTTGATGAAATGCTGATCTTGTTTGATAAAGGATTTGCTGGTCTTGGCTCAAGATATTGACTATTTGAGGAGCATTTTGACTTGAATAGAGTTGTTTATTAATGCTTGCTGAATGTTTTAGCACTAATGGGAGTTAGTTCTTGTTAAGGTGTTTAGCAAAGGGCTATTTTACAAGACATTGGATCTAGCTTGCTTGTTTGTGAACTCTATGTCTAGGAATCACCATTGCTAGCTTATTTGCTTAATCAATGCTGTTTGAAACAACCTTAATTAGTTCTTGAATTCCCCAAAGTCAATAACCACATCTAGGAACTTGCTTTTCTCTTTATTGGATTTTGGATTTGCTCTGTTTTGCTTGCTTAATCTTGTAAACTGCCTTTTTCTTTATTCTCTTTGTTGCTTGATCATCTTAGGGTGTTAGATTGGTTGCTTAGGCATCAAAAACCTTCTATGCTTGCTTGACTTATAGATCTCTGCTCATAACTCTTCTGCTTTCAACCAACCCATTTGGATTAATAAAAACTCTATACTATGCTACAACTGCTTAGTACAAGCTTGGGTGATTGACATCAAGAACCTCAAAAACTCTTGTATCATAAATTAATAGTCAAATATTCAAAATATTAATGTATATTTTGTAACTGTTTCACCTATAAATACATACTACAATCAGATCTATGACAAATCAATAATAAAAAAAAAAAGACAAACTCGTTCCTTTAAAGTAACTTTTAGCATATCAAAACTTTTTCACTAGTTCTTTAAACAAAGTCATCACAATTCGTTCAACAAAGGTATAATAATTCTTTCTTACAGCAGTATTCATAAATTCTAAATTTATATTTATCATCTTATTTAAACAAAATTTTGATGTTAAAAATGATAAAAGAATTTAAATTAGTTTACTCGGATATTCTTTTATTTTTTTTAATTTCATGTATCTTTTTTTACTTGTAAAATATTTTTAGTTGGCTAAATGAACTAATAAAATACATTGATTATATGCAGATGTCACAAATATTTTTGAATGTATAAAAATAATTTAGAACCTAATTATACACATTTATAAAAGGATCTTTAATTTTTTGAGTTACAATATTATTTAAAAAATATAAAAATCTGAAAATGGTATTATTATTGTGTTAAAACAATCTCATATCGAAAGTGAAAGTTCGAGACCGGTGTCGAAATTAGAGCTAATGACGAGTAATCAAGTGATGAATGCGCAACCTGAGTTTTTAAGTATAAGAGAACAAAATTGGACTATATTTTTTTTTGTTTTTTTAAAGCATTTCTTCATGATATTATTTTTTGTTTAACAGTCGATGAAACCAAAATCTATTTGTATAATAAATTATGGAGGTTATGTGCTGGACCTTTGTTTGATGGTCCAAAAAATAACCTCCCATTCCTCTATCTTGGCATGTTAATTTTTTTTCTACAATCTGATGGCATTCTCAGCTTGAAGCATCTACAAAAAATGAGTTGGCCCAAATCCAACCACTTTTTAATATTCCTTCAAAGCATCCATGCAATGTTATTGGAATTAAGCTAAATGTATGTCTTCTTGATACTAAGTTTTCTACTTTATAAAATATGCATTAACAACATTTGGTCAGAAGATATATAGTATTATTTTGTGTTATTATCTTCTAAAACAAACTTGTTACTTATTTTTATATTTGATTTTAGGTTGAAAAACATACAAATAAATTGTATGCCGAAGTGGCTTTGCTGCCAGATACAGTTGTGAGTGGTAAATATTATAAAAATAATTTATATATTTATCTATATTTTTTTAACCTCTGTGAAATAAATTTTTGGATTTCTTTTTTTATAGGAAGTTGGAATCCCTATTCCAAATAGAAATCAAGAAAATCTACAATTTTATTACTTCACCAAAGTTTTAAGTGTTTCTGATACAAGTCCACATGGTGGATTATCGGTTCTAAGAAAACATGCTCTTGAATGTCTTCCCCCTTTGGTATTTATATTTTGTTTCTCAATTTTATAAACTAATGTTTTGACTCAATTTGTAAGATTGCATATAAAAGTTTCTTTATTGAATTTATTTCTAGGATATGTCTCATCCTACCCCAACTCAAGAAATAGTTGCCAGAGATCTACATGGCCGTGAATGGAGATTTAAACATATACTTATTTCTTCACATACTATATACCATGGAGTAATAGCTTCTACAATGAATGCTATTGATACCAAAAGTATGTTTACTGTGTTTTATAAGCCAAGGTGAAAAAAACACTTTGTTACTTAATTTAAAACATTATGTAATTGATTTTTTCAACAAAGATACTTATATTTTGGTTCTTGCCGTGCGTAGGTCAAGCCAGTTCATTGTAAGCTTTGACAAATTTTTAGATGCAGTGAACAACAAGTTCAATATAAATTCAAGATTTACCATGTTGTTTGAGGATGATGACTTTAATGAAAAAAAGTAAAACTTGAATACTTATTCTTGTTTGTTGTTACCAGAATATATTTATTAAAAATATATTTGTTTTCATTGCAACAAATACTATGGAAAATTACAGAAATAGAAGATTTCTCTTCTTATTGGAGGAATTCTGAATGGCGAAACTTAAAAGTAAAAATCTCTCTAGCTATATTCATATATTGTTTTAGAATACACTTATAAAAGAGTAATAAATAACGTTCACAAGCTTCTATTTTTCTAGGTGCAATGGGATGAAGCTGCATCAATTCAAAGACCTAATAGAATTTCATCATGGGATATTGAACTTTTAGCACCTTCATCAAATGTTCTTGAATCATCATTACTTAAGAACAAACGTCAATGTCAACTTGTTGAAATCAGTAAGACAACATTTTTTAGAAATTTAAAGCTTCTTTGTGAAATTATTCTTATTATATTTCTATATATAGGTTCAAATTTGTGGACTCTTACACTAACTCAAGGCCAGGAAATAGGCCAATCAAGCATGAATGCTCTAACAAATGCTCCGCAATTTAGTTATCACGATTCAGTTGATGATTCTAAGATTTCATCTGGTTGGCTAATGAATTACATAGTCCCAACCAAAGAAACTACTGCTGCAACCACTGGGTACAAATTGTTTGGAGTGGATCTAGAGGCTCCCACCAATTCAAAAGATATTGTGGGACTATTTGACTCAAACAAAAAGTCATACATTTCAAAAATCTGTGAAGAAAATAAGCTTGACCAAACCCAAGGTTTTACAATACCAAAAACAAGCAAATCAATTCTCATAGAAGTCGTACTAAAGTATGATAAAATATCACCGTTTTCTTTATATACATACATATATATATATATCAATGAGTTCTAAAACTGTTTTTTTTTAGTATGTTACTTACACATCATATATATATATATATATATATATATAATATAAAGACTAGATGAGTAACCGCGCGATGCACGGATTTTTGTTTCAAAATATAATTTGTTAAAAAGTTTAGTATAATTTATTTTATTGTATACTTTTATTTTACGAACAATGATAATATTTTTTTGCTTTGATTTCTAGTAGTCCTATTATTATAACCTGATGATGCAACCTCTTTTGACTCTAGTTTACAAATATGTTGTAATTACAGAAATATATTATTACATATTTTAACTATAATAAAAAAGAGTATTTATCAATTATTACATATTTTATTATTTAATAAGAAACTTAAATTTATAATGATAATTTATTATATATGAATTTTCTATAAAAATATCGTGTATTTGAATAAATATATAATATATATGTATATATTTTATCGATAATAACTATGTATGTGATAAATGTTTTATCATCAGAAAATATAAATTATGTTATACATTTATAAAGTATATATAAATTTAATTAGCATATAATTAAAAGATAAATAATTAATCAATCTAATTCTGATTGTATTAAAATAATAGACTATTAATTATAAAAGTTAAATTGACAGGTGTCACTCTCTCCAATGCTGATGTGGCACTCAACTGGAGAGAGTTGATCATCTTTTATATTGTAGATTAGATGGTTATCTATAATAACATCTTTACTTTAACATGAAATATTATAATATATTAAATATGTAGAAATAAACTTTACTAAATTTTTTAAATAAACTGAAACAATACTGATTGATTCACATGTTCATGATATCGTTTTTGAACAGGTTCAGATGCAAGGTATAGCCATAGGGAGAACAGTGGATTTAACTGTTCTTGGTGGATACAATGAGTTGATCGACGAGTTAGAGAAACTTTTTGATCTTAAAGACAAATTGCGTATACCTAATCAATGGAAAATAATTTTCACAGACGATGAAGGAGATATGATACTGGTCGGAAATGATCCATGGCCATACATTTCTTCCCACTTATCTTTTTCTTACTCTCTCTCTTCTCTATCTTTATCTTCATAGATATTAAATCTTGGAAAATATAAATAAAAATATTTAATTTGATGTGTAGTGAATTTTGCAACATGGTGAAGAAAATAATGATATGCCCAAAAGAGAAGGTGAAGATAATGAAATCAGGGACGACAATTCTTCGACAGTGACTCAATTTTAACAACAATAATTGTAATATGTTTTGACGTACTTCATAATGTCAAAACATTCTATATATTTATTTTTATCTTTAAGTAAATGTTTTTGTTTTCGAATTTGTCATGGTTTGACATGTTCAGAGTTGTTTGTGTATATAATATATATGTTTTTATCATTTATAAATAAATAAAAAACAAATAAAAATAGTTATCATGTTATAGTATAATTGTTTTTTCACAAATTATATTTTGGGACAAAACTTCAAATATATTGTTTATCCTGAGATATTTACAAAAGAATTGTTAGACATTTGTATACAAATAATATTAAAATCGATTATAAAACTTTATAATTAATTTTCTTTTTTGAATTTTAATAATAAAACAAATTTGATAGTTATCATAACGCATTAGAAATTAACTAATAAATTAATCAAAATATATTTATTAAATTTGATATATGGTAACTAAATTAATTATCGATTTTTTTATATTTATTATTTTCCAAATTATAAACATAAAAATCGAGTCTTCCACAAATTCATTGGATATAATACATAGGTAATACAAAATTTAACAAATAATCTTTAATCTTTGTCTAAGGATCAAAAATAAATAAATGAATATATAAATATTGTTTACCCAAAATTTGGACATTAGCGACTTCATATTTTTATCCATTCATATCTACACCATGTGCAGAATATTTAATTTTGAAATTAATTTATATAATAATTAATATACCTTATATTTTAGAAAAAATAAAACTATATTGTCAATCTTATAGCATAATTTTATGTATAATTAATATAAAATTAATTATATTATATATATATAATTTTAAAATTATATTAATTTAAATAAATAATAATTATTTCACTTTGCGTAAAGTGCTAGTTATTACCTAGTTTAATTGATTTTTAAAAACATGGGAAAAACAAAAATCTCTTATCTCTATAGTCTTATTGTTCGGGAGAAAATTTCGGGATGCCATGTGGGAGGTATGTGATTCGTCTGGGGGTGGAGCTGTGTCTCCTATTTTTGCCTTCTTGGGGAAAAGGCGACGAGTCGTTCCGGGGCGGAAGCCTGCTTTGGTCCTGGTTACGGGGGAGTCATGATGAGATATCCTGTGAGCACTAAACAAATGATCAATCGGATCTCTGGAAAGACCGGAAAGGGGTTTCCCTCCCGGCGGTTCTCTGACGCCAAAGTCAATGAACGTCCTACCGGGAACAAGTACTCAGGAGGGGAGTTTATATGTGTTTGGGATGAGAAGTCTCGTCCCGCGATTGAGACTACTATCTGTTTATGAGTGTTTTGAGGGGGCGTCCTATATAAAGAAAGAAGACGTAGCGAGTATAAAGGCAAGGTTCCGGGTCAAGAGAGACTTATCCTAGAAGGCATTCACTTGGGAGAATGGAGGATTCTCCTTCGGCCATGCTCCTCGTCGGGGCCGGTTGACTCGGTTTTGGTGTCATTCTCTCTTAAAGGGTTTTTGATCCACCGAGCCGATCCCCTCTTGTGTGGTGATCTCTCCCCTTTTCAACTGGCCATCTCCATGTCCTGTCCTCTCCATTCGGCATGCCAGGGGAGCATGTGGTAATGATGATTCTTTGCGTGCTCGGGGAAGCTCGCCAACTGTCCGGGATCAGTACGCGGGAGTGGTTCGGTCGAGCTAGCGTGGCGTGCGTCAGTGTCTAAGCCAGTCTAGCCTCCACGTGTCAGGTCCTCTTTGGGCCGGGTAAAATCGGTCCCAACAGTTGCCCCCGACTTTCCGACTGATTGGAAAATGAGTCGGGAAGTCCAATCCTCATAAGCATCATGTAAAATGGACATGGGTTATCCGATTCCCTACACTGTTTGCCTTTATAAGTGATAGCTTGCTATATTAGAGCATTTTAGGCTGCATTTCATGCATTTTTCCTCTTGTTCTTGCATTATTTCTTATTATTTTAGTCCCATTTACATATAAAAGTAATCATACATGCATTTAGATTAGGAATAGATACATTTGCATGTTTAAGGTGTATTTCAGGTGTTTTTGAAGCTAAGGAGACTTATTGGAGGATGGAGGATCATCTGGAGTCAAAACAATATGCAAGAAGAATGGAGCCAAGCTGTTTAGAAGCTGCATTGAGGTCACACATCGAGGTCTTTGCTCGGTTCAACAGGATGCGAGTTAAAGATCGGTCTGGACGAAGCCTCTCCACTCCGATTCAGGTTCCACGTTCTTCATGAAAGGTGTAGAGGATCTCAATAGCTTTCTAATGGTGGTCGGATCGTATCATTTGAATCTGGGGGTAAAGAGATAGAACGATTTCAGCTACATAATGTTCACCAGCCTGCTATACCGAGGAAGCGCATGAACCAAAACATCAGGCAAAACACCCCGATGCGTGCTGAACCGACCAAAGCTGTCTGGAGCAACAGGGACAGACAGCATCGACCAACTGCATCGAGCAAAACATCTATTGTACACCTCGATGTGCTTTATCCGAGAGTTGACCAACTTTTTCTACTTTTGACCAAACATTATCCTTTCACTTATTTAAGCTTTTGGCTTATCTTTTTGTTATATTATCTTCTTCTTTATCCTATTTTTCGACCTTGTGTGAAACCACAAAGAGATTTTTATGGGATTTTGATCTAGATCACCCTTTTAATAAAGTTTGGCACTTCCTTTGTTATTTTCCTTCTAGTTTTTGTTTAATCATGTTTGATATATTATCTCTGCTTATTTCTGTTGATTTTGCTATATGTTGTGAGTAGTTTCACATGGTTTGAGGTTGGAGCAGCTTTGGAGATGATTGGTTGATAGCTTAGGGTGTTTTGGTTTGATTAATGTTTAGATCACTTAGCTTAGTTGTCCTTAGTGCTTAGTAACTCTTTTAAGGTGAAACTGATTATAGGTGTTTGCTGCATCACAAGTGTTTGTTTAAATGCCTGAAAGAACTTTGTTAGGAACATTCTCCTAGATGATAATATTGGCGTTTAGGTAGCTTGTTTGGTCTATATGAGCCTTGTGTTTTCATGCTGGTTTTGCACAGATACGCCATCACAAGTCGGTCTGATATATGCTTAACTGAGACATCTATGTTCTTGTTACAGGCTGGTTTTGCACAGATACACCATCACAAGTGGGTCTGACATGTGCTTAACTTAGTTGTTTCTGTTCTTGATGCGGATTGATTGATTTAGTGGTTTAGTCATGTTCTTTGCTTGTTATCAGTCTTGACTACCCTAGGTTTGATGCTAAGTAATCTCCAAGTCATCATTGTTCTAGCCTTGAACCAGCGCCTCATTGTTCTTTGCTCTTCATCATTTTGTGTTCTGTTTTCCTCTGTTTTTAGTTGCTTGTTTTTGTTCCGTTCCTTGCCTTGCATTTCAAGTTATTGCATTTAGCATTTATTTTGGTTCTTGCACTTCTATTGCTTTGCTTATCTTAGTCCTGTTGCATTTAGTTCATTGCCTTGTTAGTTCTTGTAGCATTTAGTTTCTTTGCATTGCATTGCTTTCTTTAGTCTTGTTAGTATTGCTTTTCACTTCTGCATTTCATCTTTGTCCACTTAGATTGTTAGAATCATCCTTCTTCATCATACATGGTTAAGCTTAGATAGTTCCTTGCATCTTTTTTATTCTAGCTCCTAGATGGATTGATTAAACCTCTTATATATTACATCTGATTAGAGAGGGATTGAATCTAGTGACCCAAAAGTCCTTCTTCAATAAGTTAAACTGACGCGACGACAATGCCGCGTATCGCAAGGGATACGGTACTAGTCTGGGCGAAGCTAAGTTCTGAATGATAGTGAAGATTAGGGACTCGTCCGAGCCATGCCATGCATCCTGGCGGAGTGCAATACTAGCTGGGCGGCCCAAACTTCCGGGGAAGTGGGGAAGGGTGTCAACTTTGACCTTAGAGCGCGTCAAGGAGTACGTACCGGGCCAAAGGAATAGTCTAGAGAGGACTTCCAAACCCAACCTTATTCGCATGTCCCAGGGGAGCACGTTATCAGTCGAGGGAGTTATACTTTTGGAGAAGTGAGCTGCAGAGCAGCTTTAATAAGTGTCAACTTCGACCTTATTCGCATACGGGAGAGTACGTTAGGAATTATGCTTCCAAAGGAAACAAACCGTGAGACCGTCAGACTAAATATATATATATATATATATATAGACTCGCTCCATCTACGTTACGCATTCGGAGGAGTATGCCGTTTGGCCGGAGGAGTTATACTTCCTGAGAAGTGAGCTGCAGAGCAGCTTTAATAGATGTCAACTTCGACCTTATTCGCATTCGGGGGAGTATATTATTGGTCGAAGGAATTATGCTTCTGGAGGAAACGAACCGTGAGACGGTCAGACTAAATAAGTATATATAGATACTCATCATGTCTACATTACACATCCGGAGGAGTATGTCGTTCGGCCGGGAGAGCTAGATGATGGGGTCCTATCCTGACTGGGGCGTGTATCCGGGGGAGTACGACGCTTGCTCAAGATAGGAGGACAGGCATTTCTGGCGGGAACTGATAGCTTGGCCACTGGTGGACATCTCCCCGGAGGGATTTTACTTCTTGCTTCGTGAGGCACTAGACAATAAGCCGTCTTGCCCCTGCTCATCGGGGTCATGAGTGAGGTTATAGTCTTATGTGACCATGGGGATCACCATAAGTCAGCAACGCGGGCTAAGACACTGGCCCAAGGGCCAGAGGTGGCGCCGCTGAACGGATGAATAAATGTTCCCTGCGTTGCAGGGCGCTAACGCAAGGGGGAGTCGCTACTCGAATACAGCTGGTGTGGAGTAGGGCGTTTCCCGAAGGCGTTACCTCGACTCCCTTACTGCTTGGACAGTATTTGCGTTGTGCTTTC